CCCGCCCCCGCCGCCCCTGCCCGCCCGGCTCCGGGCTAAATCGGGGTAGATTTCGGCAGCCCTCGCCTCCTCCGTTTTGGTAGCCTGGAGGGTCGCCGTGGACCCCGCTGCATTGTGTATTCCCGCCACCCCCACCCCAGAGTGTCCGCGCCGCGCGCCGGATTACTTTTTGAAAATGGGAAGGATCGAGGAGCACTGTCTTTTGGAAAACTTAGTGAACATCTCCCGAGTTCCTGCTTTCTAGAGAATAGTAATCTTATGAAAAGAAAAGACATTTTTAGCCGTTTTGGCCAACTTGCGAGATGCATGTGAGAATGGCGACAGGTGCTAACGAAATTAAAACTGTCATTTAGTCCGTGGTTATTTTCCAAATCCCGGAGGCTTGAATGAAGATGAGGTGGTAGAATAAGTGATTGCTAATAGGGCGCCTGTGACAAATGTGTGTTTGGACTGTAGCTTTGGCAGTTTCTTATTAATTGGTCTGGTTTTCCTTGAACAATAGCTTTGGTGAGTCAGAAAAAACTGTGTGGAAATGTTTGTTGCCTAAGAATGAATGTATGCTGCCTACAGTTAAAAGTAGTTATCACACAAAATCTGTAAAATTTAAAATCATTTGGAAGTAAAAATCTTTGGTATTTAAAGTACAGGACTTTCTGGCTTTTAAGAAAGTCGTTGCCAGTTTAGTTTCATGGTGTTTAATATCACATGAAACATTTGAAAAATAAATCTTTAAAAATACAAATATTGGCACAACTATAGTTTGTACTTCTGGGGCTTCTGAGTTTTTTATTTATTGAGGTATTCTTGCTCATTGAATATTAGGAACTAATTCGTCTTTAGGGATAAAATGGAGAGCCAAGTGTATAATTCTAATTATTTTATTCATAGTTTTATTTGCAAGAAAATGAAAGTAAACTATATTTTAAATTTTTTGCTCATTGTAAAGTTAGGAATAGATAGGATTCTACTTTTGTAATTAAAGAATACGCCTGCATTTTCAAGGTATGCCTGGGAATGTGATATTTAAAGTCCAGGAAGCACTTGGGAAAATTGCATCCTGAATTGTCATTTTTGTGGAAAGTGATATATCCCAACAAAGTTAAAAAACGTAGATTTTTTCCTGTTTGCATTATTCTATCTGATGAAGACCCAAGATTCATCTGCGAACTTAAACGGAGACAAAGAAATCCATTATAAAAAGCTGTAAGCATGTGTTCTGCGGTGTTCAGGTACAGATTCGACATACTGCCGTAAGTGTAGAGATTATAAAATCAGGTTTAGGTTTGTATTAGTTTACCAATTATGTTTTTTAAAAAGACAATTGACGTTATTTATTCTTATGAGCTAATTGTGCAGATTTTTTGCAGAAACTTGGGTATGTTAGGATTTAAACATTCTCATTTTGCCCTTCATGTATATTCTCTATTAGATATCTTTGTTCTTGTCACAAGGTTATCTTTTACAGAGGCTTTTTGATTGAAAATTTTGCTCTTTGTTAGGATTGAGAGTATACTTAGTTTAGTAATGATGGAAAAGAAAAACACTTGTTGATTTAGTGTACTTAGACAAAAAAAGTCCTTTTGGATACAGGCTTTGTCTGGTGATACACACACACACACTCTCACACACACACACACACACACACGATTGATTGTTTTCGTGTTGGCTGTTTAAAAACTAGGCAGGTTTCTCCATGCCCTTACCCCCCTTGAGATGAAGGCTCAAGAAGTGCAGATTTGTTTCAATATTAGCTTCTAAATAAACAACTGAGAAAGTTGCTGCTTTAAAAAAACCAGCCAGGGGAGATTTTTATGATGATAAAAGTGAATTACAGGATCAATTAGAAAGGATCCCTGCATTAGTTTTGGTCTTTATGTCAGTATAGGTGAAGAAAAAAATGTTCTGTAAATGTGAAAGAATTATGTGGGCTGGTGAAACCTTTCAGAGGGGAGCCAGGTGGAGAGGAACAATTCGTTAAATCCAGAGAAAGCTTGCTTAGCCATGTGCTGTCCTGCTGAAGGCCTTCCTCAGTTCCCAGGCACTCTTGTGTTCCCACAGGGCTTTGTGCACACTTTCATTATAGCCAGTATTGAATTGTATTATAATCACTTGTTCACGCTTCCCTCTCCCTGACTGTACACTCCTAAGAGCCTAAGGCAGAGGCTCTCTTATTTTTCTTTGTATATCTACCACCTAGGTTGGCAGTTGCTGGAGTAGGAATTTTATAAATTGAACCTTCTTTCTCCCTCTCTCTCCCTCTCTCCCCCCTTCCCTCCCCTCCCTCCCCTCCCTCTCTTCCCTCTCTTCCCTTCCCTCTCTTTTTTTCTCTCTCCCTCCCCCCTCCTCCACACCCCTCCTTCCCACTCTTTCTGTATTACTTAGTTTGAACCCAGGGTATTTTCACTGACCTACCTTCCCAACCCTATGCTTTTGAGACAGGGGCTTGAAAAAATCATTAAATTGGTGAGAGTCAAAAGTTGTGATCCTCCTGCTGCATCCTCCCTGAGTACTGCAATGATGGGTATGTGCCACCACACCTGGCAGAGAATGGGGATATTAAAGTAATTGAACGAATTAAGGAAATAGGAAAGATGTGAAAACATTTGGCAAAGGAACTTGGAATGCAAATAGGGGGTATTGCAATATTTACATCATGAAGAACTTTAGAAGGTCTTTTTCACCCTTTTAGAGAAGCAGAATTACAAAGAATAATAATTGTCAAGGTGGATACATTTTGCTGTTTTTCATTGTTATAATCTATGGTATTGAAAATTGAGCCCCTTGTGGCCAGGGCCTTGAATCCAGGGGCTTTGCACACATGAGGGAAGGCTCCACCATTGAGCTACATCCCCAGCCTCTTTTCAATTTTGAGACAGGGTCTAAGTAACTTGCCACATTGCCCACGCTGGACTCAAATTGGGATCCTTTTGCCTTCGTTTTCCAAGTGGCTGGGATTAAAGGAATTTGCCTGTGTGCCTGGTTGAAAATTGGAAGTTGTTTTTAAGTTTTTGAGACAGGGTCTTGCTGTGTAATTTAGTCTGGCTTTGAATTTCTTATGTTGCCCAGACTGACCTCCAGCTTGCTGTTATCCTGCCTCAGGCTTTCACGTACTGGGATTACAGCATGTGCTGCTATTCCAGGCTTTGAACATTGGATATTCTTTAAGTATAACCTCTTGTATTTATGTTTGGTACACCCGGGAACTAGAGAACTTAGTCACCTGGATGGCTGGTGATTTGTCTAATTTGATGTTGAAACTGATGATCTTCATATAAAACTGGAAGGAAAGAACAAGAGAGGTAGCATATTTTAATTGAAAGGTGTCTTGCTAGAATGCAAGAGTTTATTGGAATTGAGTTAGGTTTTAAAGCTGAACCTGAAGGAAGTAGTGATAATGTAATTATAGATTTCTTATTGAAGTATTCTTTATTCTTTTATAATTATATAAATATAGATCAGCAAATCCAGTAGTATCTCAAATGTTATTACTGATTAGTTTCTAAAAGGCTGCACAGATCTATGTCCTGCTGCTGTGTGACTTGTTGGTGCACGAATGTGACAAAAAATGAAATGAGAGGAATTACAGTCATGTACTGCATAAGAAAGCTTGGGTCAGTGACAGGCCATGTAGAGAAGGGTGGATTCATAGACTATATGCAGTGACACTGTAGCCATTGTAGTTTAGATGGTGACAGAATTGCCCAACAATTCATTTCTCAAATCTATCTTCATCATTAAGTAACATGACTGAAATACTAAAGTGCCTGTAATTTGCCAGGTGCTTTTTTTAACTGTGAGAAATTCATATCAGCTGTTTCATTATTAAATTTAAAAACCTGCATATATCACCAGATGAATGAACAAACTATGGTGTTAACATACAGTAAATATTCTGACATAAAAAGAACCGAATTCTGATACGTGCTATACAACATTGAAGACATGCTGAATGAAAGAAGCTGTATAAAAACCTTTTGTACAAAAAGCATAAAAGAATAGAATGGTTACATTTATATGAGGTTGTTAGAATAGGACACAGAGAGAAGGAAAGTAGTTAATGCTTTAATTTGTTTCATCTTCTTTTTCCAATTGTACTTTTTCTTTTCTAAATTTCTTACGCGTTTCTTTCATTTTTTTTCTTCAAATTTTACATGCATATATCTGGTAATATGAATAGCTGGTTGGAAGACAACACTGTGTATTACAATAAATACTGTGAAATTCATATTACTTTGGTAAGTAAAATTCTGTATCACTTGTAGATTTTTCCATTTTAATTCTAATTTGTACTCTTTAAAAAATAAATAATTTTTTTAAAAAAAGTAGAGTAGAGGTTATGAGGGACAGAGAAGTAAAATAGTTAACTAACAAGTGCAGGTTTTTTTTAGAGTGATGAGATAATCCTGGAGATGGTGGTGATGGCTGAACAAGATTTTGACTATACAGCCAGTCCTTGCTATCGCTGGCTTCTGTATCTGCACATTGGATCACCTGTTGGTTGAAAATACTACTCCAAAGAACATTGTGTTTACTGGGCATGTATAGTCATTCTTTCTTGTCGTATTCCCCAACCAATACAGTGTAACATCTATTTGCGTGATACTTGAATGGTACTAGTATTGTAAGTAATGCAGGGATGGTTTAAAGTAAATGGGATAGCTGAACTATTGGAATGGTGTTGTGGACCTGCAGTCCGACCTCCATTGAAGGCAGAAACAGGAAAATGGCCTGAGTGTACGAGTTTGATGTGAGCTTGGACAATATGGTGAGACTTTCATCTTAAAAAAAAAAAAATATATATATATATATATATATATATATACATACACACACGCGCGCGCGCACATGTATGTGTATAGTTGTGTTTAGTTTTCTTGAAGATACATGGGGTTTGAGCATTTGTGGATTTTGGTATCTGAGGGAACGTTCTGGAATTCAGTCTTTGAGGGGGTACCGGTGATCAAACTCAGGACCTTGTGCTTGCGATGCAGGGACTTACGCGCTGAGCTGTGTCCCCTGCCCTGGAGTTTAGTCTTCATTGTACACTAGGGGACAGCAGTGCTTAATGCCACTAGATTAGACACTGAGAGATGGTTAAACACACACACACACACACACACACACACACACTGTATATACATATTTCATTTTTTTTAAAAAAAATGTTTGCTATGTATATTTTTCCAGAATGCAAAACAGCACATCGTGCAAATCTTAGCTGATAGGGAAACTGAAGCAAACTGGGCTGCAGGTTCAGAACTTGTCCAGAGTTGGGTGTGGTGGTGCACAGCCATAATTCTAGCACTCTGGGAGCCTGAGGCAGG